TGCTTTAAAACTACTTTAGTGAGTATTATCGAATACTCACCCTCTACGCTATCGTAGACATCATGGTGCGGCTGAGGGTTCTGCATCTCGGAGCTCACACACCCTTCTAGTCCATCCTGTATATGCCCCCTGGAATTATATGCATCGGAAACCATACCCCTAACTAACCCACCCTTTCTTCTAAAGTGTGTTGAGGCCTCAGCAAACATAGTTAGTCAGAAGGGCCTTGGTCCTACCTAAGGATATATATGAACTGAATCTATACTGTCGATAATGCTAGCATTTTCTAAAGGAACTCGGGTGTCCTGGTCGTTTCCTGAGCATCATCCAAGGCTATTTTTATGTCATCCTAATAAATCTTGTTTCTAAGTGTAATTAATATCATTAATATTCTCACTTGCAGTCTTATTTGATGATAAAAAGAAGTGTTTGGGTATCTCGAGTCTAATTCCCTTGAAAACCGACATTTTTGCCCAAAACTGACTGAAAGTATCGATACTAACCAAGAGCATCGATACTACTGCAAAAGTTTCGATACTTTTAAATTTTCTGTTATGCCTAGTTTCGAAACTTTATGGGAGTTTCGAAACTAAGACCCAAAGTTTCAATACTCTTGAAAGAGTATCGATACTTTTGCCCAGAAACTCACGAATTTCTCCAAAACAAAGAACTAGTATCGATACTATCCCAATAGTATCGATAATTTACCTGCAGTAATCATATAACACATACTAAAATGCTATAATTCAATCCCAAAGACCATAGTGAGTTCCCCAAACATGCTTAAAGTTTTATTTGATCAACAAGGGTCATAATAGAGGCTTTAAACACATTTATAACTCTAAAATGAGAATTTCACCATGAAATTGCTTATGATGCTCAACTCAACCATTTAAACTATTTGAACTTCTAATGACTCACTAAGAGCATGGAAGAGTTGTAAAGGTGTTACCTTGCTTCTTGGATGGCTAGAAACTTTCTCAACTCACTCAAGATTCAACTTTTCTTTTCTTTAGCTCTTGAGCTTTCTCTTATCTCCTTCACTAAACAAAATGAGAAAATGGATTACCAATCCATCTAGGGGTTGAATAACATCTAAACAAACTCCCTATAACTCAAAACTTAGCAAGAGTCCATAGATTCCCCAAATCTCTCAAGACCCATTTTTTGTTCTATGGATAAAAACTAGTGAAACTCAAAATGAAGCTAGAAGGATGAGGTTTAATAATCTTACCTTGGATGGATCCAACTAGGCTTGAATTTCTTTGAGATTCTTACTTAAAGAAAGATAGAAGAAGAGAGAAAGATAAGAAGATAGGAAGAGTGTTTGGTGTGTTGTTAGGGGGTTCTTCACTGTGAAAACATAATATAAGGAGGGATTTTCAGCTTCCAAAATAGTTATGGGTGAACTACACTTTTAGTCCCTTTACTTTTATTATCATGAATTACTCATCTCCCTCATTAACTCTCTGGGCCCTAACTCAAGCTCACTAACAACAACTTGGTCCAACTAATATAATAAGATCCAATGGCTCAACTTTAGGATTCGGGTAGACCTAAACTACTAACCCGAGATTCAGGGTGTTACAAACATTTTTCTACTCTGATGTTCCTCCTTTTATTTTCCTTTCATTCCCTTGGCAGCTCCGTAAAAGGTTACAAGGAGTTACCCCTAATAACCGTGTTGAAGATCTTAATAATGCTGCTAAGATTTCATCGGATTATTATACCCAAGAGGAAATGCTACGGTTTAAAAAGCTCAAAAAGAAGAAAGCGTTGCGAAAGAAAGAGAAGTTGGATATAAATGCTCTTGAAGCAGAAGCCATCTCTTCCGGGCTTGGTGCTGGAGATCTTGGTTCTAGAAATGACTCTAGAAGGCTAGCAATTAAAGAGGAGGAGGCCAGATCTGAGGCTGAAAAGAGAAATAGTGCATACCAAGCAGCATATGCCAAAGCAGACGAGGCATCTAAGCTTCTCCGGCTTGAAACTCTTACAGTAAAACCTGAAGAAGATGAAAATCAAGTTTTGCTGATGATGAAGAGGATCTTTATAAATCGCTTGAAAAAGCAAGGAAGTTGGCTCTTAAAAAGCAAGAAGAAAAATCAGGTCCACAAGCTATTGCGCTTCTTGCTACAAAAGCCGCCAGCAATCAAACTGCAGATGATCAAAACACCTCCACTGGAGAGGCACAGGATTACAAGGTTGTAATCACAGAGATGGAGGAGTTTGTATGGGGTCTTCAGCTTGATGAAGGTTTGATTTCTTTCAAATTATGTCACTATGATCTTGTTCTAAACATTATCACTTTTTTTTGTACTGCCAGCTACTGTATCATCCGCTGAAAATCTGGATTATATATTTTAGCCTCACAGTTTCCTGTGCTGGGGTAGTCTCATGGATTTTAGGTTCTAGATTTTACACTAGTCACGCATTCCTGTGCTGGGGTAGTCCTTTTTTTTCTCGTTTGGCCACACATGCATAGACCAGCCAACTTCCCTTTTTTCAATAATAATAATAAAAGAATTATCTTTATCTACATCATATCTTTCTGGTAAATAATAATGTTTAATGTTGGTTTGGTTTTCAGAAGCCCATAAGCCCGACAGTGAAGATGTTTTCATGGAAGAGGATGAAGTGCCTGGAGCTTCTGAACAAGACCAAAAAAATGCAGAAAATGAGAAGGGTGGATGGTCGGAAGTGGCTGATACTAGTGCTGATGAAAAGCCTGCTAACGAGGATGAGATTGTTCCAGATGAAACCATTCACGAAGTTGCAGTTGGGAAAGGATTATCAGGTGCATTGAAGCTGCTTAAGATCGAGGAACACTTAAAGAAACTATTGAATGGGGTGGCCGGAACATGGACAAGAAAAAGAGCAAACTTGTTGGCATTGTAGACGAAGATCGTCAAAATGATAGATTTAAAGATATTCGCATCGAAAGGACAGATGAATTTGGTCGAATTGTAAGTACTTCAATCTCATCTATTTCTTTCTTAAGTTTATGCCTTGGGATTATAGTTCTATTCTATTAATGTCAAATAACAGAAAAAACCTACCTTTGTCAAGGATTAGAAATGCTTCAAGTTAATGTGCATGCTGAAGCGTATTGCTTTTTTGGTAACAGAAAAAACATAACTATGTCCTATTATATATGCATCTGAGCTTACAAATTATGAATTTCTCACATCTCCAGATGACTCCCAAGGAAGCCTTCCGGAATCTTTCCCATAAATTTCATGGCAAGGGGCCAGGCAAAATAAAGCAAGAAAAACGGATGAAGCAATATCAGGAAGAATTGAAGCTGAAGCAAATGAAAAATTCAGATACACCTTCACTTTCAGTGGAGAGGATGAGGGATGCTCAAGCTCAGCTGAAAACACCCTACCTTGTCCTTAGTGGTCATGTCAAACCAGGGTATGTTTCATCTTTCCTTGGGTTAATTTGCGATTTCTGCTTGTTGGGTTTAAACTAAATTTTAGTTCAAGTCATGTACCCAGAGTTGGGATGTACTAAGTTTCTTCTTCTTTCTTGTCTAAAAATAGTGGCCTTAAATTATTCTGAATGGAAGGACATTCAACGATCTTGGTACCTTAAAACAACTTTGTCCACATCATTGGTAATATATCTTTCGTTCTGGGTGTGCGACCTTGTTGCTGTTAGTCTGATATGCAGTAACCGGAATTTGTTCTTGCAGGAAATGAAGTTTGGTTTACCATTTTATGCTGCTGATATGGCTTACCACTGCTTATAATTCTTAATCACTTACTAAAGGGCTTGTTCGTTACATTTTTAATAGGTTGCAATTGTTCATCATTTCTTTTATGTGATTAATTTCAGGCAAACTAGTGATCCTGCAAGCGGCTTTGCTACTGTTGAGAAGGATTTTCCAGGAAGCTTGACACCTATGATTGGTGATAGAAAGGCAAGTTATTTCTTACCTTGCGTTACAAGATACATGAAAACCTGTCATATTTTATTGCCATGGAATTGGTTTTCAGGCATAGTTCTATTTATTTATTATAGATGTTTATGATACTGTAACTCTTTATTAATGCGGATGATTTTATCGGTGTCTCAAATTTTTTGAACTTTTGCTATCAAGTTATTATGTTTAGTAATTTTTGTTTACCATTCCAATTCAATAGGTTGAGCATTTCTTGGGAATCAAGCGCAAGGCTGAGCATGGGAATTCAGGCGCACCAAAGAAGCCTAAAACTTGAAATTTCAGCCAGTAAGAAGCTATGATAATGCCGATTAACATGATATGGTTTCGGTATATTTGCTTGGAAGTGGGTTGTTGGAATCGGTCGTATGATACAGGTAACACAAACGCAAGTTGTAGAGAATCTAAAACAAACTTTGATTCCAATACCATGGTTATGGATAATTTGACTTGTTTTTGTTACGAATGTTCAATGGATGGGAGTATGATTCAACCATGGAAGAGCCAAAAGAGATAAAATTTCATATGTAATCGATGTATTATCCAAGTGCCAAATGCATACTAGTTAATTCTGATTTATTTTTGCATCCTGAATACATTTGCAGTGTAAAATTAATAATAGTGGTTTAGGCATCGCATCACCTCTTGCAGTATTATGCATAGGAGAGTAAATATAACATGCCCTTTGCATAAGACTACGAAGTAGAAAATATTATATTTTTCATAATATTTTTGGTTATGCACAATGTATATTTTTTTATTACAATCGAAAATATTATAAATTTATATAATATTTTAAGTTGAACATATAAGTTGAAAATAACCTCAAATTAAGTTGCCACATAACAGAATTACCTGCGCTGGGAACCATTATGTGGAAATTGGAAAGGGAAAAGTCCAATTTTATTCCAAATTCAAATTCAAGTTAGTAGGAGGATAAAATGACAGTTTCTTGAGTTTTGACCCACTAAACAATGGATAATATAACTCCGTACAAAAGCATCAGTTTCAATTAAGAGAACAGACTTCTGAAATCTATGATCTAAAGAAACCACCAACAAAGATACAAAAACCTCATATAAAACCTATGATCCAAGTTTCAAAAAAGTTAGCAATACTTGATTATTTCTTGTGCTAATAATCTCTTGCTACGATCTTGAACTTCCCTGTCTGTTGTTGCTGCAAACAGAAGAAAGCCACACAATCAAAAACAAAATTTCAGCAAGCAACACTGCTCACAGTCCCACAGTTGATGCCTTGATGATATATACTGCAATAACCATGAACGATAACAAAAAAGTAATCCAAATTATGCAGAAAGCTTAAAAGAATGTACCTTCTTCCATAGCTCAGTGTGGGGTTTGCAAAACCCTGCCACAACAACACCCTTCTTTCCTTCTTTATATTCAATGCAGAGATCTTCGTTCAACCCACAGGTGACATGAAACTCCAACCCACATTTGGACTCCGAGCACTCAATAACACATCCCTTCCTGGTTTTACAAACATAACATTTGCCTTTCCATCTCTTCTCCGGCACCCTTGAACAGTCAATCATTTCCCTTCCTTCAGGATCCCCAAAGAACACCTCCGGAACCAAAAGAGCACAAACCAAATGAGCCCACTTACCGTCATCAGTCGTGGGCTTCATCGCACCTACTTTGCTCGGACATAGGCAACAAGAAAAGGGCCTATCTTCATCAGTTTTATCAGATTTGGAGGCTAAGCAAAGGTTGCAAAACCAATCACCTTCTGGGATTTGTCTTATCAATGGATTCCCATAACATGTGGAATGTACCATTAAATCACATCCATCACAAAATACAATTGGATCTTTTGGATCCCCATCCGTACTTTTACAGATATCACACAGAATCCCATCTTCCTCCTCTTCTTCTTTGCTAACTTGTTCTAAAGGCAGCATTTCATTTTCTTTATTTTCTTCACCACTAACGTTGATGCAATTTTTGTAACTTTTTTCAGTTTGGGTTTTCTCGTTTTCCCTCAAAACCTCTTTTTCAACATCAAGAATGCATCTTTTGGGGCCTTTAGGAAGTGGGGGTTTCTTGGTTTTCTCTGCAACAGGGATTTCATTTTCCTTGTTTTCTTCTTCCTGCCTAGTTTTGATGCATTTGGGGGGAGAATTTTCAAATGGGGTTTTCTTGCTTCTATCCAAAATCTCATCTTGAGCGTCAAAAGTGCATATTTTGGGACTTTTACAAATTGGGTTTACACTATTTTCCTCTGGTTCTAATTGCTTCGCATACTCAACATTCAAATCAAAAGGCAAAAGAGGCTTACCAGAATCGAAATCAGGACGTAAAGCCCGTATCCTTTTCTTGGCGGGCAAGCAATACGTGGTGGTTTCACCCACTGGAACACCCCTGGACTCCTTCCTTTTCTTCGTCGGGAGACAAAAAGAATTGGCTTTGCTGCCACTGAACTCATCGTCTCGTCCTTCTTCTTCTTGTTGCAAAAGCCTAAATCTTTTGAGAGGTGGTAAGACTTGAAATCTGCTATCCATTTTCTATTGAACAGATTTTCTGCAAATAGAAAATTGAAATTTTTTTCTTTAGGTTTTGTTGGAGATCTAGTGGAAGAATTAAAGATTGGGTTTTGGTTTTAGAATTTAAAAGGGTATTTCATTTCAGATTTGAATTGAAAAATGAGAGGGTTTTGAAGTTGGTGGGAAGAGAAGCCGGGAACTGGGTAAATCTTTTGTTTTTGTTTTCGATTTGTGGCGGCAAAAGAAGACACAGTCATCTGGGAGTAAAAACTATTCTTTTAGTCACCCAACTTTTCATGTGTTTTTATTTTGACCATTCAAATTTTCTTTTAAAAAAATTAGTTTCATCATTCATTTTTCGAAATTGATTATTTTGAATCAAAGAAAAAAAATGAAAAGGCGAGGTGGAACACTTTTTAATGGCAAAAAAATAGTTTCCTAAATTGAGTCTTGCCTTAGGCTCGTAAATTATTTGTATAGTTCGTAATATTGAGTCATACCTTCATTTTCCGATAAGTTCTAAGATTACTTTCTTAAAACTTTAATAACCAAAATAAAAACATTCATATTTTAGTGACCATTATTTTAATTTATCATTTCTTTTATTTAGTGAAAATTAGGTATTAATGTCACGTTTGGTATATAAATAAGAACAAATTCAATTATTGCTCTAGTTATTTAATTTTAAAAAAAAAATTGTAATATAAAGAATAATATAAATTTAAATTTGAAATTAGAAATATGAGAACCGATTTAAGTAAACAAATAACTTATAAAAATAATCCCTTAAAAAATAACTCTTCAATATATATATATATATATATATATATATATATATATATCCTATTCCTTCGAATTAAGCCAAGCTGTTGACTAAAAATTATCAAGAAAAGTGAATTTTACTAATCATAGCATAAATAGAAGAAAAAATTAAAACATATACTACACATTTAGTATCTAAAATATCAATTTTGTTTCATTTTATACCTAAATTTTCATTTATTTTAAAATCATACTTGACGTTTGTTTCTTGTTTCATTTTAATATATCATCGTTACAAATTTAACAACACTGCACTATTATAAGAAAATTAATTTATCACTTAATTATCTTCTCATTTCTATTTTGATAATTAAAATTTAAAATTTTTCAATTTAACTACTCAAATTTAAAATTACTCATGTTTTAATCACTCTAATTTATTTTACTCATAATTTTAATAATATGATATTTTTATTATTATTATTTTATTAATATATAATTAAAATAAAAATAAAAGTTAGAGTAATTAAATTAGGAATAATTTAAAAGTAAGTATTGAAAAATAAACTTGTTGAGTGATAAATGATACAATTTACCCATAAAAAAGTGTACATACAACACCTCTATTAAGTTTTTAACGACAATGTACCAAAACAAAATAAAAAATAACCATTAGATGTGATTTTGAAATAAATGAAAGTTCAGATAATAAAACGAAATAAAAATGACAGTTTAGTTACTAAGTGTACCCAAAATATATTTAAAATAAATGAACAGTTAGATAGTCCCTCAATTATAAGCCACAGTTAACCAAACCTTTAAATAAATATACATAATCATCCTTTCTTATTTTGAAGACTTTTGGCCTTCAATATACTCGATTATTCCTGAAATGCCTGTTTCCAACACGCATTAGATATATATATATATATATTGAACATATCCATGTTAAACACATACCTGTATTCTCATCGGAGTACGAGTAATACAAACTACTATTCGGCGTCTGAGATGCCAAGTTGCTATTATAATAAATGGTAGCCCGGTTTTCATGCTAAACAACTACAATCTACGTTCTGAAACAGTTGCATACCTGCACGGTTTGCGGTGGCACCATACCAGACCCGAGCACTCGATAGAATATAGCCGAAGAAAGGTCTTGATGCACAAAGAAAGGGATGAAGCAAAGAAACGATTCTTTCTTTGATATATAACTTCCTGGAATAGTCTGCATACCTGCATGTTCGTGATGATGTCATATCAAAGCCCGAGCACCCTCGATAGGGATATAGCTGGAAAAAAAACTACCGATGCATGAAAGAGAGAAACCAAGGAAAGTATTCTCCGAAGTTTAACTGCTTGTAACAGTTTGCGCACCTGTTGACGGTTTGACGTCATGAATCACGTCAAGCATTGGATCCTTTGATAGGATGTAGCTGAACAAAAATCCTGACCCATCAAGAATTGCACAAGCGTTCTGAGCGATTGCACTTACACAGAAAACCAACAGTTCCTTTTGGGCGACATCAATGGGGAGAATCTTATTCTTAAACCAGTTCCGGGAAATACCTGTTTAAGAATGAACCACCAAGTCAGGAAGAAGCACCTCTGGAAATAACATGGTAAAGTAGAATCCTGAACCATCAATTGTATTTGGAGGGAAAAGCAATGTGTTGATAAGAATTCACCAGCAGTTTTAATGTCCGGCTTGGCCATGAGAAAGGGGGTCACAATCTGCAATATAAAAATGGGAATAAGAATATACTTTTTTTGTTTATAAGAATTGAAGTTCTCGTTAAAAACCCTCTTCATAATTACTAAACACCAAGAAAGGTATTCGACAAAAAGTGAAAGGAGAAAAAGAATACCTAGTAGTTTTATTAATAATAGGGCTAAAATTATCCGAAAATTACAGACACCAATTTATCAAAACCTTTACAACCATAACCTATTACAAACAAGGATACACCACAAAACTCCCCTATAATTACCCTAACCCTTTTCAGCTAATTCATCCTCTTCCCAATTTGCACTTCTATTAATGACCCTTAGAAGTATTCCATCCCTATTAACTGCCATAGCAACCTCATTAACAATTGATTCATAAAGAGGAGGGAACACTGAAAGATTCTTAATCCACTCTACAACGTTCCTGCTGTCACATTCCAATATCAACCTCCCCTTCTCGCACCAGTTCGACCTCGATATAAGAGAGAGACCAGCTTCGACTGCCTTTAGTTCAGCCAAAGCCGGAGGGCCTGGTCCAATGGGTTCCGAGAAATATTCGATTACCCTACCACTTGAGTCCCTTAACAAACCCCCAATGCCACCCTTTTTCCAATCCCTATTCACCGCTCCATCCACGTTCATCTTTAGGAAACCAGCCGGTGGAGGTGACCAGGACCACGATGCCACTAAGGATTGATGTAACCTCCTCGAAACAGTATAGGAATCTGCTAGCGATGGGTCACCAATCAAGGAGTCCATAGGAATCATAGAATGAGGGTACTAAGCTGACAACCAAGATGCAAGGCGAAATCTCGAAAGGAAAAAGAGGTGTGCAGCGTCAACAGACCCCTTCTCAAAGACAACAGAATTTCTAAATTTCCAGATTGACCAAACCGTAACACCTGGAATAAAAGGCCAAATACTTGAATTCGGAAATTCTAGAAAACGTCATAAACTATCTCCAGTTAAAATAGCCGAAGTAGATAAAAGCTTGTGACCTTAAGAAACCTTCCTCGTTCAATGGATCGACAGTCATACGAATGAAGAAGACGTTGCGCACCAAAGCAAAGTTATAGTCGCCATCAGCATCACATACAATGAGCTAGAAACTTTGAGTTATATTCAGTGGTTTGGTGAAATTACTGAAACCAATATCACATTATTTTTTATGTATTTCTTGTTGCCAATTTCATACCACCAATAGTACAGCTCTGACATACACCAAAAGCAAGGGAATTGTGCAGATCTTGAAAAACTTTAGATCCAGAAGCAAAATCGTGGAAATCCTCACATTTCTATTTTTAACCCTTATCTTGCTGCAATTCTACCTGACATACCTCAGTTGTGTATCTTCTTATCTGCAACTACCGGAAGGAAAGGATGTGCATAAGTTCCAGGGATGGACCGTGGGGGTAACAGGATGTGCATAAGTTCCAGGGATGGACCGTGGGGGCATGTTACCTGCCGTTAACTTCTTCATTAATCCAATGCGCAGAGCAACTAATGCCTAAGAACTTAGTTTACCATAAAACTATTGAAAATTCTGTCAGGAAAATAAAAATGGAGTAATAGGCAAATTCAAGTGACTTACAATTCCCTCAAGTTTGGAAGGTTCATTGAAGATGAAGGCAGCTCAACCGTCAAGCGATTGTTCTCAAGATGACTACGTAAGACAAAATCTTAGTCAGTAAATTCTTTACAAAAGAATCACAATTAGGAAAAGAAGACTTTGTGTTTATATGATCTTTAGCTCCACACATCGTATAATATCTGGTATTGAACCAGTCAAGGAACTCCCATCAAGCCATCTGTAAGGAAAATATAAGAAATTAGTTTGTTTGGGGGTAAAATGGATTCATCAATCAATTGAATTAAACAGATAGCAAAGGCAAGAATGGAGTTCGGAGCTCACAGTTCAACCAAACTGCTTAATTTCGTAAAATCAAAAGGTATGTTCCCGGTCAAATTCTTGCTGGATAAAAGGATGCCAAGCACCACAAATAAAACAAGTTAAAAGGTACTCATATTTGATCCAGATATTAGTGAAGAACTGCTTTAACAGAAGTGGGAAAGAATCTAAGGTGGCGTAAATCTTTACACTGACACTATCTTTGTCTGTCTATTGGAATTACACCACACCCATGACCATGGAACAGGCAAGCACGGGCAGGGCCGTGGCTAGGTTATCGGGTCCCTGTGCAAATTTTTATAAAGGGGCCCCTATTTTTCTAGATATATTTGATTTTGGGATACCTATTTTATGATTTTTAATGGCAACAACTGATAAATATACTCGATTTCGGGACCCCTATTTTTATGCTTCTTAATAATAATAACTGATAGATATATTCGATTTCAGGGCCTCTATTTTATGCTTATTAATGACAATAATTGATAAATATACTTTTTTTTCAATTAGGCACGAAATAAAATGATAGGCACTAAACTGGAATAAAGATTATGATTTATGGATGTTAACCAATTGCAAAACTAGGATAAGCAATTAGAGTTTTCTAATAACGTTTAACTGTTTTGTTGAGAATCAAGTGGGAGTAATATTATATTAAACGTTATATGAAAGTCATTTTTTAAAGTCCATCACTCTCTCTTAACTCTAACAAACACTCTCTTAACTCTACACTTAGACTAGAACCGTACAATAATATAAACATTAATAATAAAAAAGTAAAGTCCAATGAAAGCCCAACTCAGTGATTCACTCAAAACTCAACTCAACTCACCTGCATCATTATACCGCCAACCGAAGCATAACTGGATGATGAAGACTTCTTTGACAATTATACGATTTTGGGCCCTATTTTTATGCAAGTGACTGAGGGGCCCTACGCGGTCGCGCAGTTTGCGCCCCCTCAGCCACGGCCCTGAGCACGGGTCACCACCTTCCTGTGCCCACTCAGCTGATGGGTAGAGTGTGACCACATTAACAACAAGCACTTCTGCAACTCACAAAAATCTATTTTCAGAGACATTATGACCAAGACTATGCAAAGAGTGCATTCTAATCATCTATATATACTGAATGAAACTTAACCTTACTTACCATCCACAGAACCATCGTTTTTCTCCAGATACCTGTATATCTCAATAAAGTTCAATAGTGGCCCCTTGGAAGAATCAAATGTCTTCCCAAATCTAAATGATAATACAAAGGGGAGGGATATGTTAGGATATCCTGGTTCATAAACACGGTTACCTACCGTAAACTTCTTCTTCAACAGTAGGTAACGTGCCACGTAAGATAAAACTAACTGGAGTCAATGTCAGAGACCGTACTGAAAATGAACTAAAAGTTCAATGACTGTATTGCATGTTTTAAAAGTTTGGTGACCAAAATGCAAGCGTCCTAAAAGTTTAGTGAATGTATTGCATGTTTTAAAAGCTGGATGACCATAATACGAGCGCCCTAAACGTTTAGGGACTATTTATGTACTTTACCCATAAAATTATCATATATGTTAGATTTTTTTCAATGTATTTTCTATCAAAAATCTATTTTCACCCTCCCTGGAATTTTATAAGTTATCACTTCATCTCCTAAAATTTTATAAATTCACCCCCTAACATAAAATCTTGTATCTGTCTCCGTTCATTAACAAAATATGAAGTTCTAGGTTTCTTCCTTTCTTTAACTTCTAATTATTTCCTATCTTGCTGCAACTCTTCTTGAAATATCCTAGGTTTATTTTTATCTATAAAATGCATAATGTAGCTAGAATTCATTGTATATTAACCACGGGCAGGTTTGCTCGCAAAACTATAATTACTAATTTAGGGGATGCAAAGATCTTCATTCAAATATAAGTCCAACCACCTATAGAGATTATAATTGTAGGCTATTTGTCACTAAAAAGGATACACAAGGAGGGGATACCACCTAAATTCTTAAATGACAGCCAACATGGTCTTGCTACTAGAGGCCAATCTTTCAATGAAAAAAAGAAAACCTAGAGATATACATGATTAGCTTCAGGAACGAAAATAAGTGGGGTTGGAATTGAAATATTCCTTTTCGTAGGAGGCTTCAGGATTGAGAATTAACACAATGGGAAGATCTCCTCTTGTTGTTGAGCGGTTTAAGATCAAGCGAATTAGCAGTTGACTGGCTAACTTGGACTGGAAATGGGGAAGAGATATATTCAGTAAAGTCTTTTGGAGCCACTTTATCCAAGTCAAAGAAAAAACACTTCGAATGGAGTAAGCTTATAGGATGGGGTTGTTCCACAAAAGGTATAGATTTTTGTTTGACAAGTAGTCATTGGGAAGATTGTTGTTAAAACATAATTGTTGAAGCAAGGTGTGGAGATAGTAATGGATTCATTTTTTCCTTTATGCAAGGTTGAACCAGAAACAATTTACCACCTCTTCCTAGGATGTAAGGTGGCAAGGGAAGTTTGGTTTCGCCTTCTTAACCACTAGAATGTTTCTACTATCTTTCCAAGTGATATCCCTACTTTTCTAGCCTCTTGGCATAATGTTGCACATGCTCTTTCTTCAAGTTCGATCTGGAAGTTTGTACCGGTTGTTGTTTTTTGGACTCTATGAAAATTTCGAAATGACAGTTTTTAGCAATTGCTCTCTAGATACTGTGCAAATCTTCTTTTTGACGAAATTCCGAATAATCTCTCGGTTTAAGGTTTATTCCCCTTCGCCCTCCATCCCTTTTGACAGTCTGGTCAGTGATCTCTCGTTGGCTGATAATGCTTCCAACCTCTCCCCTACTGGTAAGGATCAAGAGTCTTGGTCCCCACCTCCGACTAGGTTCCTGAAGGTTAATGTTGATGGAGCCATGAAAGGCACTTGGAGTGGTGGAGGTACGGATGACCTTATTCGTAATCAGGATGGTAATTGTCTAGCTTCGTTTTCTAAAGCATTCGGGTAAAGCCCTCCAGTGCAGAAAAAATTATTAGCCATAAAACAGGACATTTCAATGTTTTTTGATTTGGAGATTAACAAAAAAAACAGGCCGATGGTAGGGTGCGACTGCAAAACTGCTTTGGATTGGGTGAAAGATCCTCTCTTAAGCTTTGACCCTTTCTTGGATCTGGTTATGGATATTGAATCTGTTGTTAGGGAACGGGCAATTGTTCTCCACCATGTCAGAAGAATGCAAGAGCGGACGAGTTAGCAAAGCAAAGAATTGAGTAGGAGGGTTGGCCATATAAGAGTTTGGTTGTCTTTGGGCACCTTTTTGAATTGAGTGATGCAGTTATTCATGTTTGGTGTTTTCCTATGAGGTTTTGATGTACTTTTTTTTTATAAGAATTGGAAGTCCTGTTGAAAACCCCCTTCATACTTCTTGGTATACTGAAAAGTATGTCGATAGGTAGCTGTCGCACTGTTTTCCGCCCGGGCGGGGAAAAACTTAGTACGAAGGATTTTCTTTGAAAAGGTTTTGAAATGTTTTAGAGTCGCCATCGACCTTTTGGGTTAGATAGGTCGAATACCTAAAAAATTTCTTTTAAAAGAGTTTTTAAGAAAAACGTCATTTTAAAAGATACACTGATCCACTTGTAACCAGAAATTCATTTTTAAGCAATAATAAGGGTTCGGGGGTCAATTACGTGTGGGGAAGGATAAGCACCCCCACAACGCCCATAATTGGTACCCCATCGATTATAAATTGTCTCTAATAGTGAAAATTTAAGAATTTTAATATAAATTTAAGTTACGATCTTATTATTCCAGATTCAACCATACAATTTTTATTTACTGAAAAATTCTAAGGAGAAATAGAAAATATTCTAATATTTCCAATTGAAGAGAAAATAATCCCTAAAATACTGTAGGACGAATATTTCTCTTTCTAACTGAAATAAAAAGAATATAATAATTTCTCCCAAGAACTCAATATTAAAATAATGTGATTCAACCAAATTGAATAAAACTAAAATAGGCATATTCAAAAGTTTTAGGTTTTTCTAAATAGAATATTTATTTATTTTAAAATATCAGAATATGACATCTAGTTACTTTAAGATCGTCCCTTCTTAATATTTTAAAATAAATAAATACTACCCTTAATCCAATTATGAAATCGATTAAGTTATGCTTATGAAGCTTTCATACATATTCCAAATATCTAGATCTATATGCACAAACAAATTTTCATGGCAAAAATTATAAATTAAAAATACTAATTAGGAACAAATAAATGAAAATTAAAGCAAAGATAAAAATTAAATGCTATTCAATGATGGAAATAAAATTGGACTAAATTAACAAGTGCATACTTTAAAACATAAATATTACGTTAAATAAGCAAACAAAATATAATTATTAAAATGAACATTACAAAATTTAAAGTTCTAAATAATAAAGATTAAATAATAAATACAAAAATGAACATTACAAATGTAAATAAAGAAATTAAAGTACTTAAGTTAAAAAAAACATAAAATTGTACATTCACCTAAATTATAAATAATAAAATATAAAAATATGCATCACTTAAAATACATACTACAAATTTACATGCCAATATAATGTATAATACATTACACCACAACTCGGGACTAAAATAGAATATTACAAATTATATGCCAAATGAGAAATAAAAAAAAGTGACTAAAATAAATAAATTACAAATATCACATCCAAATCATAATATAATAAAAACAAAATCCAAATAGTGACTAAAATGAATAAATATAAAAAAACAGTGACTAAATTCAAAAGTTAATAAAATCAATATGCATATTCAAAATAAATAACAAAATAAATTACCATAGTGCGATAGAAGCTAAACTATGAGGAGCTTAAGGATGCTTTTACCCTGATAGTGACCAAAATGCAAGATATGCTGGAATAGGGAGGACCTAGAATGCGATTTGACCCTGAAACAAATGAACAAAACAGAAAACCCCTAGAAATAGGGGACCTGATACGTGGTTTAACCATTTTCCATACAAACATAATATTTTCCTCATGTTTCACGTGAAACTGCCGAGAACTTACAAAGCCTCCCAAAACTCACCTCGATCGCCGCTTGCCGGCCCTCGCACGTCGGCCACCGAGCCGGTGACCGACATACACCCACCGCCGACCTTGATCGTGGCCGTAGGAGGACCGACCACCCTTGAATGACCGAAAAAAAAAACTCCCCGTTGTCCTCCTCTCTCACTCTTTCTCCTCTCTATTCGGCGGCCGAGAGGGCTCAAAAACGAGCCCCAACGCGACCACCACCTTGGCCACTCAACGACAAAGACCCGAACTCCGACCAACGTCCGAACCGGCCGAAGCAAACCACCCAAGGGTCTAAGTGACCCAAACTATTCTCGTTTCTCATTTCTTTCGATCAAGGCCCGACCAAGGACCCTCCCTACGCTCACCTACGGCCACCAACAGCCGGAACTCCCTCGTCGGCCGCCGATCAACGGTAGCCACTCTCCCTGCAACTCATGAACCCCTGAAACCGAAGCAAAAACCAAGTGAGAAAGCCCAAAAAAGAAAGGAAAAGGAAAAGCAATATTGGAGAGAAAAAAGAGTCAAAGCAAACTGTCTTTCATTCCTCCCTTTTAGGGGACAAAGGTTGAGTCCTTTTACAAGTGGTGGTTGGGGTATTAATAACCTCAACCACTACATTTTAATATTTTTTTTTACACATAATAAAATAAAAATGAAAAAAATGGTGTTTACAGCTGCCCCTCTTTGCTCATTACTGTGGAACATGAATAGAGCAAAGATAGTAAGCACCATTTTTTATCTAGACTAAATTGCTAAAATCTTGAACTTCAATTTCTTCTGAGCGGACGAATTCTTCTCATTATGAACTCTTCGTTGATGATGTCAGTCCACTTTCTTCTGTGATGGAATCACCAAGGTTGAACAAGTTCTTCTCATTATGAACTTATTCTCCCTCGTCGGATGAGTTTTTCTCATTATGAACTCTCAACTGGAAATGTTGATCCACCTCCTTCTGTTATGATTGAGCCAAGGTGATGCTGATCCAACTCCTTATGTGAGGGACTTGCGAAATGATTATGCTGATCCAACTCCTTATGTGATGGACAAGCAAAAGTCGGTGATGTTCCATTTCCTTATGCGATGGAAACAAGCTAAGGTTGAACAAGTTCTTCTCATTATGAACTTCTTCTCCTTCTTCGGATGAGTTCTTCTCATTATTAACTCTCCACTGGAAATGTTGATCCACCTCCTTCTGTGATGATTGATCTAAGGTAATGTTGATCCATCTCCTTATGTGAGGGACTAGCTAAATGATTATGCTGATCCAACTCCTTATGTGATGGACGAGCAAAAGTCGGTTTTGTTCCAACTCCTTATGCGATGAAAACAAGCTAAAATTCTTCTCATTATGAACTTCGTTTCCCTTATCGGATGAGTTATTCTCATTATGAACTCTCCACTGGAAAGATTGATCCCTCGAGTGAGGTGTTGCTGATTCAACTCCATATGTGACGAATCGAGCTAAGGTTGAACAAGTTCTTCTCATTATGAACTTCTTCTCCCTCATCGGATGAGTTCTTCTCATTATGAACTCTCCACTGGAAATGTTGATCCCTCGAGTGAAGCATCACTGATTCGAAATGTCATAAATCGAGTGATTGATCGAACAAGCTCTTCTCATTATGAACTTCTTCTCCCTCTATCGGATGAGTTCTTCTCATTATGAACTCTCCACTGGAAATGTTGATCCCTCGAGTGAGGTGTTGCTAATTCAACTCCATATGTGATGA